GACATGCCCGGTATAAATACTACCCCTCCGGAATTTGGCCTACCACGGAAGGTCCGGTCCACTCTAAACAGAATAAGAACTGGGCATGGAAACTGTGCAGACTTCCGGTATAAATGGGACCAAACCCAAAGTCCCGAATGTGACTGTGGTGCATAGAGGCAAACAATCCAGCACATTACAACCGAATGTCCTATAAGAAGATACGACGGTGATCCAGAGGACTTCCTGTACGCGACTCCAGCATCGATTGAATACATCTATAATTTAGATATTAAATTGTGACTTAATTATGTACTGTGTATATTTATGCCATACGCTAAATAAACAAATAAAAAACCTTTGACAACTATGGAGACATTGTTCATGTCCATCCTTTAGCATCGTCTCCCTCAAACAATATATAAGCAGGTACAGATTGAAATGCGAGCCAGTTTTAGTTAACCTCTGAAGAAGTCAACAGGACCATTGGCGAAATGTGACCAAGTTTCATTGATCAACAAATGACGCAGGTGGAATCTAGAAGATGTGTAAAAAATATTACTGTAGCCTGTGGAAGTTTCTTTGAAAGATTATACCTTGTGTTTCCTAACCCCTCTGACAAAAAGAAGACTAAAATTTGGTAAAGTCCAGTTAGAGCAATTGTGCAGTTACATCACATCATGTTATCTTTATCTAGTTCATTAGTGGATGTCGTAGATCGACACAAGAACTTTATTTATCAGTTTTGATATCCGTGCCAAAAGCCTCGTCAAGATCAAATTTTTTAACTAAGATATACGGATTATTTTTAATTATGTCACTATAGGTGACATAACTGCACAACTGCTCTGACTGGACTATATAATAGTATATTATGTGTGGTAAACGGCATTTAATTTCATAAACGTATAAACGACACGAATACAGTCACTGGCATGACTGTCAGAATTGACAAACGTCAAAATTCAAGCCGTGCGGTAAAATCTCCGAAAACATCCAATTACTCCCAAACACGTGGGGTAATATCCCGGAAACGGACCACTAATTAAATTTTGCGCCAACCTGTATACCGCAAACTTACGACTGCTTAAAAGACATTTTTTGGGTCGGACTTTTTGAAAAACAATATTTTTCGTAGATCCATTAAAATTACTTCAACCACATGAGTGCCGATATTTTCAAAATAAACTAACGAGAACCAATTAGGGGTAAAAATAAAGTGCTTGTTTTTGACCTCTTTCAAAATATATGCTCGAGAGACGCGATAATACGACCCGGTCAGAAAGCTTTTAAACGACATCCATTTTGCAAATTAAATCGGCCTGCGTGTTGGTATTACGCAGAAATTTACCGAGTAATGGTTCATTCAAAAAAAAAATGCGATTTTATGGTTACGTGAAAATCCCTCTGGCATTTAAAAATAAATTTTAATTAATTAAAAAAAAAAAGAAAAATAGAGATCCAGTGGAACGTGCAACCCGAATTTGAGCCACAATTGTTGCATACGCAGGGTGCCGTGTCGCGTTCATCCAAAACTACCTCATATTAAAATAGGAGATGAAGTACCCGATGACATTTATAAAGTCTATAACTTTGAAACCTTCAGACCAGACCCAATGGTCAGGCGGATCTAAAACTATTGGGATATATAGCGAGACAATTTAGAAAGGAATTACTATGATTACTACACACTCACATTATTAAAATTTAGTTCCTTGACGGTGGTTATGATTTTTCAATGTTTTGTGTATACATGTATACAAATATGGCATTAATTTTTAAAAAGCGTGTGAAATGAAAAAACGCACTAATAAAATAAGTTTGTTATTCGGAAATTATCTGAGACATTTTATTCACAGCAAATAAATACTACTAATTTTTTTTAATCCGTAGTATTGAATATCTATTCTATTTTCAGTCTATCTAGAGACAACGCCTTGTAAGCCTCTATTCGGCTAAGCAGACTCCATAAGAACATTTTTACCTATTTCATTGTTACTGAGGATAAAAATTTAAGTAAGCTACTGACAAATTTAAGACGGTGTTTTTAAATGGCATCTTTTTCAAGTTTATTTCCCAATCCTACGCGTTTCCTATCATACACATCGATGGGAAAGGATGTTGAGCGTAGATTAGTTCCTTTTCAGCAGTTTCTACTCGTTCCGTCTGGTTTTTATGTATCTCTTTCTATGAGATTTACTGGATACTTAACAGAAATGTCCCATCGTTGGATTAACTAACATTACTATTATGCCGATTTTTGGGGTACAAGCCTAATAACAAACTTAGCTAAGAAAACTTGATAATCGCTTCAATAAGCTTAACATAAGTGGAACGACTATGTCCAAGTTTGCGTAGCGGGAAGTGATTGTAGGAAGGCATCATCAAATGAAACGCTTGAAATATCATTAAACTGTATTACGTCTAAACTACTGCGCTTGTGAAAAAGTTCTCTCAAATATAAATGTTCCTAAACTCTGACTTAACGGGCCTTTTAGAACTTAGAACTTTTAGAGATAACAAATAATAACAAGATAATTGCGTAAACAATGAATTATTATTCGCTGACTTTATTAAGAGGTTTCCTGCCTTGCCGAAGTAATATTTTTAACATCTAGTAAGACATTCGACATTTTAGCAAACGAAAGGAAGATTACGAGAAATTATTTATTTGATGAGTTCCAGTTCGCTTCGTGAAAGGCGTTTGTTTGCCGCTTGCAGTGAAATACGTTTTGCATAAATTGATATATTTCTTTCCGCCGCGTTGTGGCAATAAATAATCCGGGAAGGCCTGTTTGCGACGGAAAAATTACTCATAAAAGCGATTTGGGATTATACGCCGAAGCTGTAAATAATTTTTTCCACGAGGAATGGATGACGTAGGTTGTGTGTACAACATTTGAAGCTTTGGAACTTGAATGTTTTATGTTGACATATAATACGAGAATTAGTAGACTGATGTCTGTTCGGTCGACACTGATTAATCGGTTATAGTGAAATCGATCTAAAATGGAATAACGGTACGGCCTGATAAAAAATGAAGCTAATTTTACAACAGAAAAAGACTTTATTTCCCTATATATGTTTACTGCACTTATTTATACAAACTAAGCCTTGATAAAACGCAACATTTGACGTTTTCGAGTAATGAAGCTACTACGAATGGTAGTGTGTTGTCATCGATGACAGATTAAATTGGTCCGAGAATTTTTGGGACTTGAAAGTAAAACTTAATACAGGATTGTCCGTTGTGATGCGACTTGAAATGCTGATCGATGATAAGTACTTAATTGAAGTGTATCATGCTCTATTGCCTTCTCATTTAAGTTATAGCGCAGCACTGAAAGATATTTTTTGAAATTTTTAAATTGCAGACACAAGCAAGCAGTGTTTGATTGTATCAACAGCTGCTTCATATTTCTGAGAATTCCGAGGATCGTAGTTATCGTTTCCGATTTGGCAATAATTTACCAAAACTTTGTCTTAAATTTCTATCGGCAATAGTTTTCATTTTAACTTATAAGGGGTGTTTTCTTTCGATGTATAGAACTTTAAGTTGCAATAAAACAACGATGGATTATTCGATTGACATGAATTTTATTTATCCGAAAGATAATCTTGTGGCATTACATTTTAAATATGATTTCTGGCATATGGCGGATGTAGTCCAATCTGGACGTCCAATTTTCGATTACTTTTTCCAACATTTGTGGCCGTATATCGACAATAGCACGGCGAATGTTGTCTTCCAAATGGTCAAGCGTTTGTGATTTATCCGCATAGACCAATGACTTTACATAGCCCCACAGAAAGTAGTCTAGCGGTGTTAAATCCCAAGATCTTGGAGGCCAATTCACAGGTCCAAACATGTCTTTCAATAAATCGATTGTGGCACGAGCTGTGTGACATGTTGCGCCGTCTTGTTGAAACCACATCTCCTGAACATCATGGTTATTCGATTCAGGAATGAAAGAGTTAGTAATTATAGCTCTATACCGATCACCATTGAAGTTGTTGCATAATACACAATTTTCAATTTTTGTAGCAAATAGATCAATAAGTAAAGAATAAAAAAATACTTTTTGCTATTTTTAAATAAGATAGGAATACAATCTTCGTTAGTACATAAAAATACTTTAAAATAATTTATACAAAATCACATTTTGTAATATATATTAGGTGTAAAATCTATACTTACCAAAAAAATAAAATTTCTATTGGCGGTTATTAAATACACTATTACAACTGCATCCACTGCACATGTCAATTACATTGACAACTTCATTGTAATTTAATAAATTCTCAACCAAAATATTCCTGTATGATTTACTGACACGTTCGCTAATATCAGCAATATTACCGCATGCATTTCCCACCCTCATTTGGCTGGCACTTGGCAGGGCTCAATTGGATTTATACACTATGTGGGTCATAGGAGAGTAAAGGAGAAAATCCTTGTATAGTTTCAATAAGTCCCAGCTCCATATACTGTACTCTATTTTGAGGTTGGATCTTAAAATCTATATATCAATAAGAGTGACTGAGGCACTCCCTTATCAGTAGTCTAGCAAATGAGCTACTCTTGCTCTAATCCAAAAATATTGGGTGGCTATGTTTTGACGGCCAATTGTACATTTGGTAGAGTAACATGGGACTAACACAAATTTGATACAAAATACGAAATACTATCCGATTCATACAACACAACGTTACACAAAGTCTGTAATAGAAATCTACTTCTGTGAGTACATGCATTTCCATTGCCTGAATTAAATTTGGCATATTGTTTATGAATATTTTCACAACTATCACGAAATTCGGGATGAGGCGTTTAATTATTTTCCACGCTGAAACGAAATCCGGTTATCGAAACACGTACATTATAACAGGTTATATACGTATATTTGGGATTAATCAGTTCAAATACAGTAGAATATTTATGAAATGCTTATTTTAGCACAAACGCTTGGTGCCACTCTCAATATTGACGAGCAATATTATTAAACAATGTTCTTTCCAAGGGCGCCCTGTCACAGGTTAAAATCTATCTGGACCCCAACATGGCTGCCGAGCAATGTAAAACGGATTTCCAGGTTAGTATCCCATTTGCAAAATACGTTTGAATATAGCACGGGTCAACGATCTACGTATTTCATTTTTTCAGTAACGCCGTTAAGGAAAACCAAATCCTCGGATCTTTCCCACCGGAAAGTTTCCTGCTAGTCGCGAAGTTTTATTTTTATATTCCCCACACTGGGTTATTACGACTATACTAGATGTGTTCAAAAAGCAAGATGACTGTTTTATCAAAAAGGATTTATTTATTTATCAAAATTAATGTTGTCCCCTTCAAAGTAACCCCCCCCCCAGATATAATACATTTGTACCAACGTTTCTTCCAATCTTTGAAGCACTTCTGGTAAGCAGTTCCTGGTTGAGTTCTTCCAGCGATTTTTTCATTATCTCTTCATTCGTTCCAAACCTCCTTCCTTTTGTGGGTTTTATGAGTTTCGAGGACAGGAAAAAGTCGCAGGGGGCCATATCCGGTGAATATGGTGGCTGAGGCATGATTGTAGTTTTATTTCTGGCCAAAAAGTTAAGACAAAAGCAACGATGAGTGAGCAGGTGCATTATAAATGAATTGTTTTCCCACAATTCTGGACGTTTTCTTCGTATTACTTATCGCAAACTGCGCATAACTTCAAGATAATAGTGTTTATTGAACGTACGACCCTCTAGTAAGAACTTTTGATGTACAGCGGCGCGATAATCAAAGAAAACAGTAAGCAAAACCTTGAGTTAGTTCAAAATTAATCAGTTTCACAACAAATTTTGCTGCTGCACGTTTCATGCCCAAAACTTTTGAAAAAATTGCATGTCACGAGCCAATAGAGATGCCGACGTCTTCAGCACTTCTCTAATAGTGATTCGACGATTTTTTAACACACTTTTTCAACACTTTCATCAGTTATTGAGATGCTGGGGCGTCCAGAGCGAGGTGCAACTGGCTGAAACTGTGAAAATATGTTAGGGACATGTGTAACAACATAACACAAAAAAATGTCCAAGATCGAATGTATCTGGCCCGCCAAATTACAAAAGTCACCTTACTTTTTGAATACACCTACAAAATAGTTGTCATAAATGGCATATCCTCTATGTTATTATTAAATTCACACATCTATTAATTTTTTGCATAATAGCTTCCTATATCTATCTGGTGCGGTTTTCGACGTACAAATTATTTTCCATTCTTTTCCCTATAATATGATATCACCAAAACCTTAACTTATCTAGGTACAAATTTTTCCTAGCCTAGGCCATAATTCTTAAAAAATCCAATTTTCTTGACATATTTTTACAAGTAATCCATGGAACGTCATGTTTTTACAATATTTACTTAAAAATAAACTAAAATGATGCAAAACAATTACTCTAACGAAATTTTTATGATTCTTTTTATTATGGACGGAAAATCTCAAACAAGAATTCAGAAGATAACCGTGAATCTAAAACTGTAATAAAATATAGGGTATGCTATTTAAGATAGCGACCTTGACGAATGAACAATCTGTTTGCAGTAAACTTCTAACCTACCCGTCATAGATAAATGATAAAACAAAATATTAATCACATCACCGGAATTACATGGATAATTTTGATCCTCCAACTTTTGAATGGACAAAAACATCGCCAGTTGGTATTATTCTATTTATTATTAATGATTATGCGGAGTGCTATTAATACTACTCAACTTTTGGTCCCACTTTAAGTGAATCTTTGGTTTTTTAAAGCAATTTTCGATGCCTAAATGCAAGTTAAAAATTTGCACCATGTTCATTTTTGTAAAGGAATAAATGGCTGATATCAAATATCAAAAAATGTGCGTCATCATACCCTACTAATCTGGATTAATTTTTATTTTTTCCTTTAGTATTCCCATTACTATTGTTTTATTGCTTTGTGTTTTATGTGCTTTAGTTTTTTTTTCTTTTTGCTAGGACATTTTGCCTACGGAGGATTATTCCGACAATGAGATAAGTCAGTTCGTAGATACCTTAGTAAGTTTTTTTGGTTTTTATTTATTTTTTAGTTTTTGTTTAATCTTTTGGTTAATCGAACATTAACTGCTTGGTGGTTTCTATATCTTTTATTAATACTGTAAAAGGCTGCGCTGAATTTCAAAACGATCGATCCTATGTGGATTTTGATTTTCTATCAATGGTGTTAAGCAAGAAATCTAACACCATTTAACCGTAAATAGCGCACACGGTATATTCTTCTTCTTTCGAATTCACCCCTTGCCTCTTTCTTATCCGTTTTGAAATATAATTTGTTTCCATGATTTTTATTTTTGAATACGTAACTTGAGAAATGCATACCCGACATTTAAATTCGAGAGATTTCTCACGTTTTTTCGTGAACAGTTAGAAGTCAGTGACACCGGAAAAGAAAAGATAAAAGGGTATATATAATAAAAGTTATGAAAATTGAACGAAAACAAAAAACTCGCTGAATAATATTTCTAAAATTTCTCAAATTAAGATGATGTGGATAAAGGGGCGGAATGCCTCAGCTTCATCGGGGTATAAAACATAAAGCATTGTTTCGCGCGGCCACTACCATGAGCCGCCCGGTATGTGTCCAATGCTGGGAAGCTAACACGAAAAAGTTTTACATTCGAAAGGTGTTTTCTAATTATCGCTTTTATTGATTTTTTTCAGGTCGAGCGCACTGATTACGACAATTCTTTTCGGGAAGGAAGTGGCGCCGACGAATTGGGGGCGTTCCCGCCGCCCCCGCCACCCCCAGACGGTAAGACGTGTTTGTGCAACTTTAACGAAAACTGCTGTAACGTGGTATTTAACAATAAACAAGCTGCCGGTGGTGGAATGAGGGGAGAGAAGGGCGAAAGGGGGCTCCGGGTAAGTACCTTAAATATATGTGTGTTTCAATCAGACGCACGCCGCTGATTTGGCTAACTTGTCTTAAACTAAAAAAATGTTTTACAAATTCTTGTCTACCTATAAAAAGAAATAAAATAAATGAACAAAAATACATTTGAGGCAAAAATACGTGCATACCAAATTTCATAATATTAAAAACACTTTCCAAAAATGGTTTCCTCAAATATCAGAGTCGAAATAATAGGTCCAATGTTATTATTATAAATCGATTCTTGCGAAATTTTTAGAAAAAGAATACAATTACAAAACAAGGTAAAACTAAACCTACAACTTGATTTGTAAATAATTGTTTTTTTGAAAATAGTTTCCTTCAATAACCGTTGATTCTACAAACTTCAAAATTATTTTTTGTATTTAATTAATTCTTACTATGCAATGCAGGGCCATTATTATCCATCCGGTAGAAGTCCATGCAGTTGTGAGTTTGCTGCTCTATTTGTTTCTGTGTCAATAAAAAAAGAAAAATAAGCGCCATAACGGCAAAGCGGCTAGCGTTTCCCCATAGACTTGGAAAATTTAACTTCACTTGTGTTTTAGTTTGTAGTACAATTTCGAATGTGGCAAGGCTTCCAATGTACTGAAATTTTCACCGAAAAGTTCCGCGACTTTCGATCCTCCCGCGTGTATAAAGAATAAAACCGATGCCGGTACTTTTTTATTTGCTTTAGACATTTTAAAGTTTTTTTAGCGTTCGAGGATATTTTTTGTAATACATTAACTTCTTCGGTTAATTTCGAAGCTTATACAGTGAAAACTCTCATAACTGGATAGCCACCGTTCCTTTAGTTTTGTCCGCTTATTAGAGATGCATGAAGAAAAAAAACAAACTAAAACCTTGAATAGGTATTACGTTTATTTCTTTAAAAATATGCAAAAAACTATAGAAAAAATGTAGGCGAATGAACTTTAATTATTTAGTTACAAATTCTATTGTTTTTGCTTTACCAAACTTGACTGAAAATGCTATTCTAAATTTTTAAGGTGTTAAAAAGCAAAAACTTTTAGATCAGTAATTATTTTTAAGGCTTCATTGTAGGTGTTAATTGTGATAGCTTTAATGTTCAAACTAGTCTCCTCAGTCGCTGTAATATTGTCGATTTCAACATAGTTTCCAAAAGTTTCTTCCGTTATGTTCATTTCTCTAACACATCGTTCTATTTCAAGGAGTAGGATATTATCTTCTGGATCACATTCCATTGATGTAGAAAAATCATATTTTTTTGAAAACCAGCTTTGTTGTAACAATTTTATATGGTTTCTGACAAAACTTTATTCCAGGCTGATCTAATAAAATAAAATGTTTCTAAAATATTTAAGAACTGACATGACAATTGTTTCGAAAACACCGTGTCTTTATAAGATAAAGACACGGTGTTGTCGAAACAATTGTCATGTGAAAATATATAATTTCGTGAAAATGTGAACTTTTAGTTCTTATTTATTTTGTTAAATGGATTTTCATCAAGTAAAAGCCACCTCAGTTCAATTTCTAAAATATTTACAGACCTTACTAAATCCCACGCGGATAGTTGATCCATCTTTGATAAAATGTGCTTCACTATAATTCCACAATAATAGAATTTAACATTCTCTATGACACCCTGATCTAGAGGTTGACATACTGATGTCGTATTTGGAGGCAAGAAGATAATATTTATGTTTTGTAATTTTACCTTACGGGGGTGCGATGGTGCGGTATCCAAGAATAATAAAATTTTTCACTTTTGTAGGGTAATTTTTCTATCCAATTGTAACAACCATTGATTCATAACGTCTCTTGTCATCCAGTCTTTTTAAATGCCCTAGGTCAGGCAGCTTTTCCATATTAGCACAAAATAAAATTGTAAGCCTCTCCTTGGAAAGGTAAGACTCGAAAGAAAAGGTCAATTTCATCTGCACTGTAAACATCTTAAACTGATTTACGTCTTCTTGACTCACATCTGCTGATTCTCCGGAGATACACTTAAAACTTATCGCATGTAAGTATTTTTCCAGCTATCCATTGGAAGCTTTAAAATTTTGAACATTAAATTTTTCGGCTATTTCTTGAGTCTGGGCCTTTACTAAGTGTCCTGGTATTGGAATGTTTTAACCTCGCAACCGAGGAAACTAATCAAAACACACTTTGACAATTTGAAGTCCCTCAGTTTTTGCAAAATTTATTTTTTATTTAATTTTTAGTTTTGTACTTTCTGCATAATTTCCTAAATGATGCGGATTTCCGAACGAAAATTGGTAGCTATTTAATTGTAGATGACGCTACCTACGTGCATTTTGTCCTTCTTATGCTTCTTAGTCTCATAACTATTTATACAATTCTGGAATATATGTTTAGTAGAAAAAAATAATTTTAATCATTTTTATTTGGAAAAGTTCCTTTCATTAGATGTCGCTAGGATGAGCGAGTTTCAAAATGTTTTATCTTTTGAAAATTGTGTATGTGTTTTTACAATAGTGAAACAGTTTTATAAAATATATTTCTCTTAATCAACAAAAATTATTTTGGAATAACATCAAACGAACGAACAGTAAATCAAAACCTACTCAAAATCACCATCACAAAACTAATGCTCACCACAGGAAAACAAAGGTAAAACACCCGGTTTATTTAGAACGAAACATTTTAAATCACAGGATTGTATGAATTCAAATTAAAAATAATTAAGAAATATCGGATACTTATTAAATAATCCCCTGTATATTTTCTTTGTTTACAGGGTCCTCCGGGAGATTCAATTAGGGGACCGCCCGGTCCACCCGGTCCACCAGGACTTCCCGGTCCTGCCGCTCCTGAGGTGAGTGTGCGAGAAATAAACCATTTATGGTATTGCAATGCCCACAAATTCGTACTATATTATTTCACTAATGTATCTACAGGGTGTGTGCAGCTGTAACCTCACATCTATTATAAGTTCTCTTGGAGGCAATCAGCCATATTCACCAGCATATTCGACCATACCGGGTAAAGAAGGAAACCCCGGAATGCCTGGTGAACGAGGTCTTCCCGGAGAGAAGGGCGCGTCTGGTCCAAGAGGTGATAAAGGCGAACGAGGTGAGTATACGATAAATAGCTATCGAAATGATATTGAAACTGAAATCGCCTTGAGTAATAGAGTAATAGGAACCTTCTTCGATATTAGGTGAAAGAGGTCCTCCAGGTCCTAGTGGACCTCCCGGTGCGAAGGGTGAACCCGGCGTTGACGGTGCTGCGGGTCAGCCTGGCCCGCCTGGTCCTGCCGGGCCTCCAGGTCCGATCGAGTTCGAAAATGTTGACGTAAGTATTGCAATTATTCTAGTTGTTTATGAATGCATGTGAAACGTTTGTTAAGTTTTTTTTCGTTGTTATTGCGAGGTACCTCAATCATTAATAGAGATAGCGCGGTGCGGTTTTTCGCAGTAGTGGGTTCTATTTTCGTAAAAAAAACATGCTGTTGCCGACGTAAAGCAAGCTTTATCTGCAGATCTTTTTACAAAGAATCCAGTACTCTCTTCTTCAAAAAAAATTAAAATAATGAAGTTAATGTTTTTTTAAATGGCAATTTGAATTTTAGAAAATATCCTAACTTTATTCCACGTAACATATTATTACTGATATTATTATTATTATCATTATTATTATCAGAAAAAGATACTAGGTACAGCATACAAAATATACTAAACTAAAAATTTTTATTTCCGTCCGCTTGCAGATGTTTTTGGCATACTCAATCAAATTCTTAAAAAAATATGCAAATCTTTCTGGTTGTGTCTGAAAACTTATCTTTTATAAAAAAATCTGAGGTACGCAACTGAATTATGGATTCTGCGTTCTAAACCAATCTTCGTAAATGCCCATAGAAGAATTCGTAAATTATGATAAAAACTTCTGGCAACTTCTGGAAATCATTGTAAGCAGTTTTCCATTTTGTGTATTCAATTCGTATTTTTGTAATAAAACAACAATAATTATAACAATAATAATAACAATTGATTTGAAATTAAGATAGAACACGCATATTTTCTTAAAATGTCAAAATATTTCTGTATTTAAAAAGTATTTAAACTACTATCGCTTTTCAAAATACGCACAAAAAGAGCAATCAAATATCGAAGATATATACAGGGTGTTCCATGTAAAAATATAACATTACCGCGTGTCTTAAAAATAATATATTTTACTAAATTTTGAGTAAGCGAATAGATTCTATATTAAAAGACAAAAAACGACGGTATCGGTTTTCATCATGTCATGGCGGGACAATGTGTTTAAAATACATCCCTAATAATAACTGAGCAATAACAACAAAAAATGGACACACTGTGCTTGTAAAAACTAGTTAAATAAAAAATGCCATGGAGTATTAATAATATATAGATTATTTGCTATTCCTTTTTTTTCATGCCTCCTTAGCCGAGCTGGAAAACTCGTAGCCCTTTCAAGGTAAATATTAGATCAATATAAGTTATTGCTGCTTGTTTAGAACATGAAACTTGAAATTCAATAAAGCCCGTATGGAAAAAGATATATTACACCCTTAAATGAGCTCTACTATTATATTAGTGCGAGCGATAATATAATAATAATAATTTGATTCGACTTTCAATGCACAAGTTAGCAATCGACAAATAAATTACCATATTTGGGAGACATGGTCAAAAATTCTGCGGATTATTTGTACAATTGACAGAAATGTTTCATAGGTTAGTCAGCTTTCAATCGTCTATGCTCTTTATTCAAATTTGATCCTGAATCCCTTTTGTTTTATGGTTTCAATGTGTTTATTCATGTTTTGAGTCAATTGAGATTTTTTTTTAGATTTAGATTAGATTACTATGGTTTTGGATTTGAAAATATTTATAATCTTAGCTCATGAAACTATTATTTATTATTCAAGTCAAGCAAGCGAAAATTTCAACAATACATAAGATGAAATGCGTTTTCCTGTTTTGAAAGTAAAAACGTATTTAATAAGAAAAATGTTCGAGCGACTTAAAATTGTTACTCCCTTCGAATCGAGGAAATAAACTATACTCGGTATTAGGTATCTTCAATACTTCCCATTAACTTATAAACAAAAAGAATGCGAATATGAGTTCACAGAAGACGCGAACACACGAATAACACAGGAAACTGTTTTGGAACGAACTTAATATATTGTATGGTAGCTAACTGTCAATGCGAGCTTAATTATTCTATAGTTATATGTATATAAAACTGACAATATAAAAATATCAACTTGGTTTGTATATAGCGGATGATTTAAACTATCAGTTTTCAAACAAATTATTTCTTTTCTACAGCAGGCAGGTGATAATTTTTACAGTGACACTGTGAGTGTCCTAAGTTTAGCTCCCAATGGGGAAAAGCAAACTTTCTGTGCCACAGCTGGTGAACCAATAGAAGCAGAGAATTACATTTTATATAAAAGATCTGGATGACGTCACGTTCGCCATTTAAAAACAAGTAAAGTGATTATACACAAAAAAAAATTCCCTTAACCAGCGTCTTTTATTCACCATCCGCCAAATTTGCATTTGTGTTTTTTGTTTTATGTACATAAACGTGGTACTGATATCGTCGCGCTCGTCAAAAACACTGCAGTGCAAAAGTTGCCTTTGCAAACTTTATTATTTGCCGCAATAATTACATGTTCCGTTGCGAGAACGATATCAGCTTCGTTCCGAGTTTGGGGACCATGTGATTAAAATTTTCCGCTGCAGTTGATCCGGAGCCGGCACAGCGGAAAATGAATATTAAATACTGAGCGAATTACGTGATTAGAGTCATGAGCGAAGGCTTTATTTTACTATAATTGTTAGAAACGGCACAATATTTATTTACCATGCAGAAACGTTATGTGCTTATTGTTATTCCAAATTAGCGGCATTAAAATCTAAATGCTGACAAAAATTTCCGAAAATGCTATTCGTTATCAACTGGACATTTGGCATTTGATAATTAAACATAAATAAATATCCTACTTCATGTATTCTCTAAAAAATCTTCGGACTATTACATATTTGACTCAAAGAAATATCATCGGATTGCCAATATTTCGAGTATACACATATTAATGAAGCAGATAGCCACCAAATAAATTTCGTCCCATTATCATAAAATGATCGTGAATCGTATTAATAATATTTTCCGAATAGTAAAAGAAGTTTAATGAGTCCATTTGAGCGATAAAAAAAGAAATGTGCGTACCTATCTTTTCAAGCAGTTAAACATTTTCATATCTATAATATTAGTCATGACTTTTACAAGTATAATAAATCTTTATTGACGCTTCTCTCTATAGTAATAGTACTGTAAATTCTTTTATTTATATAATAACTTCGAGCTTTAAAAGATTACGTTTCTTCTAAAGCTTTACTGTCCTGTCTGTTCGCCCCTTGGTAGTAAAGTTAAGTATTTCTTAGAAATACTGAGAAATTCGTAAGTGTTGTTGTCGACCTTTCAAACATGTCAGCCAATTTTTCGAATGAATCGTTGACTTTAATAATAATAAAACATAAAAATGTTATATATATATATATATATATATATATATATATATATATATATATATATATATATATATATATATATATATATATATATATATATATATATATATATATATATATATATATATATATATATATATATATATATATATATATATATATATATATATATATATATATATATATATATATATATATACATATATATATATATATATATATATATATATATATATATATATATATATATATATATATATATATATATATATGATGACACTATATTCCGGGATATCATCCGTTCGCTCGTTGAACTCCGACTGGAATCCTGCATCCGACTGGAATCCTGCAAATCTTGCATCCGACTGGAATCCTGCAGACGTTTCGCCAAAATCTCACTTGGCATCTTCAATGCTCGCGCTCCGAAAACACTTCGAACACTCTATATATATATACTGTTTTCGGAGCGCGAGCATTGAAGATGCCAAGTGAGATTTTGGCGAAACGTCTGCAGGATTCCAGTCGGATGCAAGATTTGCAGGATTCCAGTCGGATGCAGGATTCCAGTCGGAGTTCAACGAGCGAACGGATGATATCCCGGAATATAGTGTCATCACATTTTTCCATCCGTGAATCAATACGTGAGAATATATATATATATATATATATATATATATATATATATATATATATATATATATATATATATATATATATATATATATATATATCTCGATAGTTTCCAGTTTACCCTTTTTCTGTATTATGTAAGATATCAAAATTATCTCCAAACTTGTGCATTTCTGAATTTGATTGAATGGCATGGTTAGAATCCAAACTTTTATTTTTATGCGCTTTTTTATGTTCGCTATACATACATTATAAATTTTAAGACATGATCCACATTTTAACTTGTAGACTTGAATTTTTAGAAAATTTCCTATGGCGTTTTAATTTCATTTAAATATATGTTTCGAAACTTGCCTGCTAGGTTCTCCTATGTCTTTTATTGCTTTATAAATTTTGGGTTCGCAATTTAATATCGGATGGATAGAGTTTAGAACTGTTTGAAACTGTTTTAGTTATTGTCTTCTTTATCAAAAACAGACCGTATCCCTTCTTAAAAGCTATTTGTTTTATAATATCTATTCCTTTTTTAAAATGTTCTTGAGTTTGTCCATGTGTGAGGGTTTATGGTAAATCGAGAAATCAAATTTGTTCTGCAATTTGGTTCTAATTAAGTCCAGAAACTTTAATAAAGAGTTACGTAGTTCCCTCTCTGTGGTAAATTTTATACTATTATGTATGGGGTTTATATGATTCAAAAAGGACTGTAGTTGTCTTTCCGTTCCAGTGAAAAACATCATCCACATATCTGTACTATCAAAGAAAACTATCTCTCACAATATGTTCAAATTTTTCATGAAAATTTCTACAGCTGGTGGACTAAGTCGATTTCCCATAATGAATCCTTCTTTAGCAATATAAAATTGACCATTAAATTCAAAATAATTTTGGTCTAAATGAATTATTAAACTATCTAATAAATATTATTTTATGACAGCGTTAACTTTTCACTGAGTAAGAATATTGTCTATTGCTTATTACGTCGATCGGTGGAACGCGATAAAATGGATTTTGGGCCTCAAAAAAAAAACTAGAATTGCATTAGGAGGAATTTCATTGTATTTAACATTGTTGACTAGTTCGAGTCAATTTCTAATAACCTATCGAGGTTTAAAGGCAATATGAGATTCTAAAATTTTTATTAATCTTGTTGAAGTTTAACTGATGGTGCAGTTACAAAAAAAGACTACAAGGCCTAATATTAAACAGTTATACCAAAATTCATGAAACAAGAACATACATAGGAGAACCTAGCAAGAAAAATTCTAGCTAAATTTGGTTTCAAGACTGCTTTTAAAACTGAAAACACCGTAGGAATTTTTTTAAAAAACAATGAAACTAAATTTATTTTGAATACACGGGTAGAACATTTAAAAAACACATTAACTAACATAAAAGAGCGCATACAAATATAAGGTTGGATTCTCTAACTTTGTCATTCACCTAAATTCAGAAATGCACAAATTTGGCGATAATTTTGATATTTTACACAATGCGTCAAAAAGCAAAAAAACTAAATTTGTTAGAAGCTATGAGCGTTAGATTTCTACAGGTTCAGAACTAGATAGTTGGTGCTGTTTTTTATTACTCTTCAGGATCAATAATAAAAATGTACTTTGCTGGTTTTCCATCAACCATAGTTTTCACTTTTAATGATTAAAAATGAAATTTTCATGTTCTTGGCCGTATCTGACTACTTAATCCAATCATGCTTATTCTCTTATCTGGTTGAAAAAGGATAAAATTTTGGAGCTACATCTAGCTACACCTAGTTTCCAATTTTAAACTTCTTGCTGTAGTAAAATATTTTCGAAGTATTTAAACTCTATTTGCAGTTACTGTTTTTGAGTGACGTCCGACAAACTTCAAAATGCCATGGCTAAGATCTACCGAAAACATGCGATCGCTCCCAAACTCGTGACTCATGGACCGGACGTTTTAGTCACTTTCCTAGTGTTGGGACTGGTCAAATGACCGTGGTCAATTGACCACTTCTTAATTGGCCGGTCAATTGATCGACAATTGACTGGTCAAATTTGATCAAAATGTTTTAAATAACAATTTTATAATAAATTGTTATGCGTTTTTGATGTCCAATTTACCCATAACCCTCTTCAAGGACTACCCGAATGCGATACTTAGCAATTCCGGGAATCCCAATAAAAATGTCCATTCGATTTAATTATCAAAACGACGCAATGAAGACGTAACGCACAATATAAATAAATAAATATAAATTTCGTTCCATTTTTAAAATTATTTCGGTCAATTGACATACAAAAATTTCACCGGTCAATTCCACAACCCTAGCGGAAAATGCACCGCACTGCACTTTAGAGAGAGTAGAAAACTAAATACATCTGATCAACCAAAGCAATTTATTAGACTCGAATTTGATAAATTCCATTTAATACGATTGCCGCGGAATCTCGTTTACGAAAAAATATATCTTATAGCCTGTTTTCGAGAAAAACTTTTCCCATTTATGCGTACATGTTGTGTGAAGTTTGTAAACAGCGGATTAAATATATATCTCACTGAAAATAATATATCGCAGTTGTGTAAACTTGGATCTGAACACGAAAAGGCTGTAACGCGTATTCGCCATAAAGTTATCAACCGGGCAACCGAAACTATTTAATCCAACCTAAGCCTAACGAGGTAGCGTGTATGCCGTAATTCCATTCATTCGAACAAATATTCAGCTATTCAAAATATACACCAAACAAAACGTTAATGCAGAAACCAGGAGTCGCTGAATGCGAGAAAGGGCTAATAATTCCGTCAGCATTTGGATTTTGTCGGATTTTAGAATTCGCTTCTATTAATTTGTCGCATTTTCTGGCACAATGTTGTGTTTCTAAATGCACATTCGGTATCCGCAAACTTTTTTTAATCGACACGAATTTTGTTCTTGAGCTCGAATTAAAAGAATGATTTTTATTAACAACTAATCAAAATAGCTGTTGTGGATACAACGCCAATACTGTTAAGTCTAACGGTATAAAGCTATAAATAGATAGCTAACCAAAGTCTGGCTAGAAGAATTTATTTTATAGCCTTCTAAACTAAAAATCAATTATATATCTTTTACGTGTCTTACTACGCCAAAGACCGTTACCTATTGCTTTTCAACAAATGTCGCAATTATGTGAAGATATTTTCAAATATAATCGTTTCAAAAATTAGATTTTTTTTTTTCACATTAATACCCCCAAGATACAGCAGAGAGCCATTCTTAGTTTGAACCCCTGGTACTAAATCTTTAATTCTAATAAATTTTCACACAGATTAAGTTGAGTAATACCATAACAATTAACGTTATATGAATGCTATTCTTTAAAGCTTAAAACCTTCTCATTTTTTTTAAATTCTGTTTCAATACTGGCTTAAGAAAAATAATATGCTGTAAGATCCATTGCTTCCTGTAGATAGCTTAAGGTTTGTACAACTCATATCGAGTTGTACTTTGCTTTAAATTTGACTATAGGTTAATAAAATTCGAGTTAATTTACTCCTAACACAGCTGGGCCTTAGAAAGTGTTTTCAAATAAAATGAAATATCATGTTCAAGCTGAATAGGTGTGGAATTGTTGCTTATTAATTAACTTAAATTATAAATTTTAACTAGCAGGTATAAAAAATTTTATCTGCCTTCCTAGACGTCAAAATATTACGAAATATCCGGCAAAAGACCCGACGCTCTTCACGGTTAAATTATTTTAAATCAATCTTTATATTCTGAAGCATGATCGAGATAGAGGTTGGAAAGCTCTTTGAATTTTGACATTAAATTCGTCGAAGTGATTTTCACTCTCTGTTGTGTTGTAATCAATCCAAAAGCGAACTGATAAAATAAAATTGCTTACTTAGATACGATTTAATTTTATGAGAGTTAGAATGCGCTGCATAAAATAAGACAGTTCGAAAAAATAGAAATACGTAAACATGATTTTAGTCGTTTGTTCAGATAAATGTATATGCTTTATATACATATATTTATTAGATTAAATGTCAAACTACAATTTAATTTTTAATTCGTAATTGATTAATAAATTAATTACTTAACTCATGAAAACATGATATATATACAGTTGCAATTATCTACGGGCAGGTTTTTTCTTTTTTCTGATATGTCTTCTGGCGTAGATCTAAATATGTATCCTTCCTTTCATTCATATTTCGATTTTATTAAAGGATACACTAGGTGGTTCCATGGTTCGACCTGGAGTACCAGGAGCAAAAGGGGAACCGGGAAAACAAGGACCGCAAGGTGTGAAAGGCGATAGAGGTGTGGCGGGTGCTAAGGGAAGTAAGGGAGATCTGGGTCCTAAAGGAGATAGAGGAGATCGGGGATTACCGGGCGAAAAAGGACCACCAGGTCCAAAAGGTACGCTTTTTTTGCGGCATAGGAAATCCAAAATTATCATATTTTCTGACAGGCGATGATGGCGCGCCGGGATTGGACGGCATTCCTGGAAACCCTGGGGTTACTGGAAAGGAAGGCCCCAAAGGAGAGCCTGGTCCGCCAGGTTTGCCTGGGATATCTATATCCAGCGATGGGAGTACCGATTTCATACCTGGTCCGCCAGGACTCAAGGGAGAGCCTGGAACTCAGGGCCCTAAAGGTAACACGTTAAGTTAGACACGATATTAATTCCTCCTTTTGATTGCGCCAACATACTGTCTTAAGCGTAATAAGTATGCACTACATGCTTTGGTAAGAAACTTCAAACTAATTAATATATTTTTCAGATCATCTTTTCCCGCAACATTGCGTGTTTATTTTGAACGTTTTCCAATACCGATAGAAAATTATTAATGATGATATTGTTTGTTTAACTACGATATACTGGAAACCAAGGCATTAAATAAATTATGATATTTACCGCTTGTATTTCACTTCTGTTCGATAGAAAAACGTATTTCGTAAATGTTATTCCATATTAAGTAAACAAGTGATAGTCCAAAACAAATATCCTTGTTATTGCCCAAGAATATAATATGTAATGTGCTCAAGAATGATGTGAAAAACTTCAAAAACCAACTGCCCTTCAGTTTTCAAAACAGTATTTCAATAGCTGAGATCAGCTGGAATACGTTCTAAAATGGACTAAAATCTTTCGGGTTCGTCAAACGCTAAATTAAAATTAACGCTTAAAATGTATTTCGTCCAAAATAACAAAGTCACTAACAACGTCTATTTATTATCAGTTCGTTATTTATATTTGCGCGCTCAATATCTTTAGTTTTCCACTGACTGACCAAGCAGCGGCGCTTCGTTTTTATAGAACTTCTACCAGAAGTTCCTGGAACGAAGACAGAACCGGGTTCAGCCCATTCAATTATCTCGTCACAAGATTTAGCGACAATTTAGAAATGGTTCAAATTATGTTCATTTGTTTCAGGTGATAGAGGCGTCGATGGTGAACCTGGCACACCCGGTGCTACAGGGTTACCAGGTTCAGTTGGAACCACCGGAAAAAAAGGCGAACCTGGAGTGGACGGAGCGGTGGGTCCCGTGGGACCTCCGGGTTCCAAAGGCGAAAAAGGCGAAAGAGGACCGCCTGGTGCTATTATAATGGCGGACGGAACAGAAAAAATAATTACTTTAAAGGTAAGCAGAAAATAGGTAAGACGGACACCGAGTTTTATGTGAAATGGGTTTAATCGACCGCGAATATATAGCGGTTTAAATTTTTTAGTATTGACATTTGCCTGTATGTTGATACCACTGCAATTTTAAGGGGTCCGCCTCACATCGATAAATGCAACGCTCGTATCGTATCGTATCGTAAAATTAGGACAGCGTTTTATTATCAGTATAGAACCCACTTTTGTTTTTGCAAAATTTGTTTATTATTGTTATTAAATTAATTTTTATTAAATTAATATATTCGAATAATTTTCCTATTTTATTTATTTATTTGTTGCTAATGTCCCGTTGAACCACGAGAGAAAAATTGAACAGAAATTTCCCATTATGTGACTCGCAATAAAGTTACCTAGGATTACGAATAAAAATTTTGCATTAATAAAAATCAATAAAATTTCAATTGCCACTCTAGATCGTTAAACAGTTAAATGGTTTCCTTAAATTTGAGGTCTATATGGTTTCCTAACTGATGTGGCACTTAAATGATAAAAGTTCGTGTAATAAGTGAAATAAAAAGGAAAAGTTCCGATGTTCACAAAAAATATTTCTTACTGCATGACTGTCAGACAAGTTTTTCTTTTGTTGTCTCATCCTCAAATTATTCACCGGTTCGGTAAAATACAAACAGAAAAACAACACTAAAACAAAAGCAGATAAATGAAAAGAATATTTGAAAAGTTTTCTGTACTTATTTGTTGTTATTTATTTAATAGAAGTAAGATCATTGCGGTGGAAGTGACAGCAGTAATGAAGTAATGCTTAGTGACAATTCGTGAGATAATTAGGGGTACTTTATAAGAAAAGTGCTAATTTCACAGATTCACTACTGGAATCCTTGCCTGGTTTTTCGGAGGTTTGCCCTTTTGCCCTTAATTGGTAATAAAGAGTTGTTTACTAGCGACAGACTCATATTTAATGCCTCTCAAAATATCCAGCATACAAATTACACAACCAGGCTAGAAACACTCATGTTCGAATTGAAGAAATGGCCCTCCCTCATCCTTTTCATTGGGAAAATATTGAAATAACAACATAACAAATTGTTGTGAACCAAGCCCTAATGGTTTAAGCCTGTTTAAGCTGGAAAAATGGAAATCTGTGTAATTTATAAAATTTTACGCAAATTCTTCGGCATCATATAACGAGACAAGCGGTCTACTTGAATTGGTACCAACTTGTAATAGTAAGAAGTAAATCTCTGTGCTGTGCGAATTTTTTTTTCTCGATGATGTCACTTTAAACTATCGTAAAAACCCGATAGTAGAGAATAATTCATTCCTATTTTAATTCCATTTTAGCCACACTGAGTACATAGGAAAGCCCTTGATTTATTAAACTTTTTTTAATTTAAATGGGTCACGCGCGCCGCTGGCGACACACGAAAAACAAAACAAGGTCATCTGACCGGGAAATTTAATTCGAACCGGAAATAAATAATCGCCGCATCTGTCGTTGCGCTATCGGGAAAAATTCATAACGGACGGGAATGAAAACCGGAAATGAAGTCAAACGGTAAAAATCGCGACGTGTCGTGGTTGGGGGCGCGGGTGGGGGCTGGAAGCACTCGCGCCGCCTGAAATTGACGTTTTCGAGGGAAATCGTTGTTATCTTCACACCTGCGTTGGTTTGTGTTTTGCGGCGGCGGCGAAATTGATCGCGTGCAATAGTTTTGTCGGGCAGTTTACACTCGAACAAAGAATTCTTCGTGAGGTGATAGATATAGTTGGACGTTCTGCTTGATGAAACGGCAACTAAATCAGCAACTCAAAATTGTATACTATAATATTCCGGGAATGGGTGGATGTCAGCGAGGGGTTGACAATTTGGCACAGTAAAAATTCTAAACATACAAACTTTGGTTGAATTTATTTCTAAATAATCCGAACACTAGCACACCCGAAGATCGCTGTAATTTTCCTGCTAAAAGTGGCTTAGATCCGACTATACTACTTCACCAGAACCTTCATATCACTTTGTGTTTCTTCTTAAGATCTTACTTTGTTGTTTCTCGTTATTTTTTAGTTATTTTTATTACCGGCCCAAGAAACCAGAGGGTAATATTTTTTGGTTAATTATTTTAATAGATTTGCAATAGTATCCCTCTTTTCGTCAAAGGGTTCTGCACTTTTTTATTCATTAGTCAGAGTCAGCATTACAATAACGTATAGATAAATTTGCTGATGATGACAGATGTTCTACATTTACCATTTTTCAAAAGGCTTTTTATGAAATCTCTACTAACCTTGTAATAGCAGAAAAGTTCTAAAATGTTCAAAAACAAACACAAAAAATTCTAGTAAATTCTAAAAAATTCTAGATAGTTCTAAAACATTATAGAAAATGCAAATAATGGAAAAAAAATTCTAAAATTCTAGGTGGTTCTTCCCTCAAGTGTAAACTTGCTTATTTCAAATGGAACCTTCTATATATTATTGTATTTTACGGTTCCTCTCCTAGAAGTAATTCCTACAGCTAAACCTTGCATATGCGGTACCTCTAAAATTTCAATTAAATAACATCTGTACGATCTTCTTCACCAAATCTAGCCAGTTATTTCGATAGTTACTAATACAGGATAATTATAAAAAACGACATAAAGCAAAACTTCTAATTAAATGGAAAAAATTATGGAAAATTAAATTCTAAAAAATTAATTTAAAACATTTATTTGAACTGTAAAAGAGCACAAAATGTATAAATATTTCATTTTTGCATAAATAATGCACACAAAATAAAAATTTCATAAACTTTACAGCGGCTTTGCATAGTTCCTGCTGACTACCCCTTAAAAATGAGAAAGGGGACAGTTAAGTAGGTTACGTCACAGTTAAAGTGTCGACATTGTGGAAGTCTGGGACAACCAATTTCGCCCCGTTTCGCGGTTAAGTTTGTCGCCACATTGAAATTTATAGTGCTTAAGTGGAACTCCCATTTTGCTCAAACCGAATTAGGGAAAAATGATGTACGCACATCGCTAACGGTGAAATTTGGCGTTACAGTTACAGTAAACATGTCGTCTATAATAAACATGTCTATAATAATATCTGCCCGATTAGACACAACTCAAACATAATCGATGGATTGTTGAGGTCGTAATGCAAATAGCGCTTAAGTTAGTTTGACGTTGAATGTTGCAAAAGTATTTAAGCAACTATTCAATAATTTATAGTTAAATGTTGATTGTGAAAATTCATCAATCAATTAATCAAAACTTAAGCGGAAATTATGTCTATATTTTTAAATTTAGAAATGGCAATTGCGACTGTTTGAATGGGTGTGGGAGTTCGCGCAGCTACTGATTTATTTTACAAAAGCTCAAAATTTTTCAAAATTCATTAGCACCTCCTTATTTTCAGTGGAAACAGTAATTTTTGCTTCAATTAATTTAATATTAAAGAAAATTGATATTTAATTTTTTATCAGTCTGGAGTGTAATAAAATGTATGTAGATGATTTTCCCTGCCTTAGCAACAGAAACATTTTAATTCGATTTCACTAAAATTATTTTGTGCAAATTTATTCCATAACTGTCTAAAACATTATTATTTTCTTTAAATGTCAATTATTCTTTGCTTATTGTATCATCACCCTGTTATATGTCATATGTTAAACCATCATTTCCAATTAAATCAAAAATCCCATTATCTACGCGCATCAAAATTTAAATTCGTATAAATTAACCCCCACGCCGTAATCAAACATCAAACCCCAAACTGGCAAATCGAACAACAAGGTTGTGAATGACAGCAAGGGTGGCTTTCCTTTAATGTCCCGCTAGAATAATTGCTTTCGGTTCGAAAATTTGTCCGTCCCGCTGTATCCATGCCCGTCAAAACCTAATCTAATTTTCCCTACCCATTGAACTATTTTCTGTGTCGAGGGGTCAACGCGCCGACACTGTTCCGGCATTGTAAATTGCAAATTCGGTAGATCCGGTCGCTGGCCGCGAGAATGGCAATTTTTGCCTTGCGCCAACTTTGTCAGCTCTAGTCTCCACATTCTTTTTTGGAAAAGAGTGTTTTGCCACCAACCGTTGGCGAAATTGATTAAAATTCAATTCAAAACGGCGAGCAGCGGCATTTTTCTTTACAATATTAATAATAAATAAGTAAAACTTGACTGTCCTTTCTATAAGTTATTGAACTTCACCATGGAGAGAGAAATCATATACTAAAAATAGCTATTTTCAGTTGCCAGTTAAAAGATTATAGTCTTGATAATAAATGCAACTTTAAAGTGAAGGTAAAGTTCGATTCTGAACCTCAAAATTTTGCTACTATTTTATTTACATCCTAAAAATTAATTTTTAACCGAACTGAACCGAAATGAAATGAACTAAAATATGACTTTTCCTACCCTAAATGGAGAATTTTCTGAAACTAACCTAGCAAAATAATTACCTAAGCTGAGTTTAATTGCCAAATCGTATTATTAACTTGTAGTCAACCAAAAAGTGGCTTTTATTATCTTGAATTTTAACTTCGCATTGAATTGAACAAATTCAATAGTAATAAGTCCCTCTAGAACCCCTTAAAAATTTGTTGTTGGATGATTTATTTTATTAAATAAATTTCTCGTTTCTCATGATTGCATTGCTGCAAAGGTTCCTGTTATGCTCTAAAAACAATTCAAAAAATAGTCACAAAAAACAAATTCAAATGTAATAAGTCCCTCTAGAATCCTTAAAAAATTTGTTGTTGAATGATTTATTTTATGAAACAAATTTCTCTAGATTTATTCTGGAAAAAATAAATTTTTATTCAAGACCGACAAAGCTTGTTTCTAATGATTTTATTGCCACAAAGGTTTATGTTGTTAAGGAACCTACTAAGGCAATCTCGCAAATTCCCAATGCACTAAAAATAATTCAAAAAATAGTGGCAAAAATCTCTTAAAATCTAAAGACGAAGTAAAGGAACACACTATAGAAGTGTCGAATGGTTAGATAAAAAAGTAAATATAAATGCGCTGGTACTTAGCAGTGAGTATAATTAGTGTTGTCATTTAGCAACTTTTAGTTGGCATGTGGACTGAAAAATTTAGTAGAAGAAACTTTAATGCAAAAGTTTAGTTGACAAAAACTAGCTAGATCTTTTACACTGTCTAATGAACCCTTGACAGTTGCTATCAATATCTCCACTTATATGAAACCCCACATCAACTTCAAAATTCAAGCCCAATAATAGTACCTAATGAACGTCACAGCTTCGAGGTATACGCTTGACTAGGTACGTTACAGGGCTAAACGCGAATACATTCCGTTTAATAACGAAGTAAATTGAAACCAGAGGGACTGTTAAACGATAAATTCCCTTTGTTAGCCCGGTGGAATTTGGCCGAAATATACCACAATCTGCGGCGTTACGACAGCCACAATCTAGTCGATCGCTGAAATTCTCTTGTATTGTCACCGCCTATGTTGAGGTGCGAGAGATGATGATTTTCCAATTTTATAAGGCTTGTAGCTCTATTTATTACGAATTATTTATAGGAAATTTATATAATGTTTATTAGGAGTTTGTGGAATCATGTAAATTTTGATGTGTTGAAATAATTGGAAATGATCCAATGCTCCTTTGATAACTTATTTAGCAAATATACTCATACAGCCTAATAAGGGGACATTCATAAAATTGCCTTATAGGTTTGTAATACTACTACCATGCATCTAATTCTTCTTGTCGAAAATAGACATTGTACTGGCGAAAAATCGCTACAACCTTGACGAATAGTACTTTTACAGCACTATTATGTGCCTCTTCTTTTTTGCAGGGTGAAAAAGGTGATTCTGGGAAACGAGGTCGTCGTGGTCGACCAGGTCCGCAAGGACCGCCAGGACCCCCAGGAAAAATTGGAGAAATTGGTCTTCCGGGATGGATGGTAATATATCAGTTATTTTTGTGGTTTTAAAATGTGAGGTAACTAATAATTAAGAAGAGATAGAGAGCAAGCGACTTCCAATGTTGCTTGCTCCTCGTTAAGCAATACGCATCTTCTATCTCTAGCGGACATATACAAGCAAAATTATTTGTCTTATAAAATCAGTCAGTTTACTATTTCTTTCAGTTTTTTTTTAATATATACTTGAATCAAAAACGTATTGAGTGAAAGAAAAATTCAATATTTTATTTTATTTTGTATATACTCTTAAATATATATAGGGAAATAGAAAAAAATGCACAATCTGTTGAGATGCGCTGTGCAGTTTTTTTTATATTCATTGAAAATCTTTTATATAATACTTCGTACTTCAAAATAATTCTAATATTTAAAATTGTTCGTTGTACTTTTCTCTACTTTCCATGCAATCGCCGACTCAGAATGGAAAGGTATTAATTTTGTAACTTTCGGAAGTAAGGCGCCCACCCTTATCACCGAAAATGTTATTACAGGGCAGACAAGGTCCACCAGGTATACCAGGCCAAGCCGGGCCGAAGGGAGAAAAAGGGGATTCTTGGGGAGCGGGATCGGTAAGCAGCACAACCTTCGTAAGTTTTTTGCACATCTAGCGCGTGTATTTTGTCAATTTAATTTGGGTAAAAGTTTTTTAATCTTTCGACGTCCAAAAGCGGCGTCTAGACGCCGAAACCTTAAGAGGGTTTGTTTTCTCAAAGTTTCTTTCGATTTGCGGCAACGTGATTGCTTGTTTTATTAATATTCGCCAGCAAAAAAGCTCTTATTTTTGCCCTCTTTCAATTAAATTTGCATTCGTTCGAGTTCATGAATTTTTTGTTGATTTCTCATTGCGACATAAAGGCAATATAAATAGAAATACCTAATTGGAGAAACACAAAATTGACTCCGCGACTTCGGTTTTTCTTCCTTAACGTTGCAAATGCATTTGTGGACAATAAATACGAGCGACGTTTCATTAATATTAATAAAATGGCGACCAAGCAAATTACTTCCAAAGAGAAGTAAATTGATGATGATACGAAGTAAATCGTCAGTCAGTTTTCATTCGGCGCTCCCCATTTGAGATAATTAGTTAGACTGCTGTCGTTGTTATTTAATTTCAAATTCGGATATATAGAGAGAGAATGAGAGTTGGTAAAAATATTTTGCAATTCGTTCATGCTTGTTGCAGGAACAGAAAGGTGAAAAAGGAGATAAAGGTGAACGCGGCACCGATGGTATCCCCGGCAAAGACGGTATACCGGGTACTCCGGGAATACCGAATTCGCGTTCATCCGATGACGCATTAAGATACATTCCTGTACCAGGACCTCCCGGTCCACCGGGACCACCTGGTATGCCCGGTTTGTCAATAACCGGACCAAAAGGTGAACCCGGTGCTCCAGCTTATGGAGAACCAATGTTTAATTCTAGACCCGGTGAGAATTTAGCAAATATATATTCGCTTTTTGGCTTTAATTTATGCATCTGCCGCCGCAAAAATACGTATGTGGTCACTTCAGTGTGTCAAAATTAATTTTTTAAAATACATATTTAATAATATGTATGATATCGTATGTAAATGGTAAGATTATTTTTTTTTATAAGGGGTGTTCGGAAATTGAGTTCGGAAACTTCGAGGAAAGATTCAACGTGGTAAAATAATAGTAGTAAGTTATGTAACAAAAATTCGAAGTCGTAATATTTTCCGAGTTATAGCTTGCCTGAGCTATACCAGCCTTGATTTAGTAAAGTCATCGTTACAAAATAAAAGTGTTTCAGAAATATGTCACTAGAGGGCAGTTTACCTAGAACATTTTTTTTTTGTTTTCACTGTATTTTATTTATTTAGATTCATATTGAAAAACAGGACAGATTGCCTGAAGCAGAATCACAAATCCACAAAAATTGTTACTCTTGTTTCAAGTCGATAAGCGTTATTATCATTTAACCACAAATCGACTTTTTATTCTCGGCTCAAATTTTACCGATTTGTGGCTAAACGATAACACTTACCTACTTAAACAAGAGTAGCAATTTTTGAGGATTTGTGATTCTGCTTAAGGCAATCTGTTCTATAAACTACAATGAAAATTTAAAAAAATGTTCTAGGTAAAGCGCCCTCTACTGACAGTTTTCTGAAACACTTTTATTTTGTAACAATGACTTTTACTAAATTAGGACTGTGTGTAAAATACCAGCTTGTTCCGTTGAGCCCACTGTGTTAAAAATAAAATTTAAAAAAATGAATTTTGAAAAGTTATGACTCAGGAAATATTACGATTTCGAATTTTTGTTACATGACTTACTACTATTATTTTACCACGTTGAATCTTTAGTCGAAGTTTCCGAACACCCTGTAGTAAAGTTGTTTTGTTAAAAAATCTTAGGTTAAAAAACCTCCGCTACAATTACTCCGAATAAATTAATTAATTTGCATATTCAAATGTTAGTTTTGACTCCTTTATTAAAATCAAACCGATATTCTTCATTTTGCTTCAGGCAATTCCAAGTTGGACTCATTCATTAACTTTTCATGGGTTATATCTTTAAATTACCTGAATATTAAAAGATTTTGCAGCCAAAATAGTCGCCCTAAAAAGCTACACTTTCTGCCTATAAGAAATAGATCAATATAGATTGAATTTAATATTACGTTCGATGTCGAAAAATCTGGATTTTAGGAGAATAGGTCATGAAAACCATATCTTATGTAGCTGTCGTTTTTTGTGATAGGTATAATAAGATATTGAATAACATCTGAAATTTCTAAACTACGACAAAAAATTGAAAACTAGCAGAATTTAATAATTTTTTTAATGCCTTATTTTAACAGAAACAAAATGGCGCATTTGAAAAGTTAATTAAAATTGTTGTTATTTCAGGACCATCAGCAGGATCAGAATCTTAAATCCAGACCTAATGATCAGACATATTTTAGTTGCTTTTATTGATATCCTTATCACATAAATATGATATATTAACGATTAAAATTACAATTCATTATGAAGAAACTGTTCTTTCTACTGCTTAGTCTAAAGTAACCAATTTTAAGTGCGCCAAGTGTCATTTTAAGACGTTAGTTTCGCTAGTCACTTCGGGCATTGCCGGTACTTCAGTCTCTTGGGAGAGATCGGATGTTTTCGGCAAGACTGAAGGGTTGATACCCAAAAACTAATGGTCATAAGTTTAGTATAAAAAACGTTAATGTCGTTTATAAAACTTTTTGCATAATATACTTTCATTATAGCAATGTCAAAACACAAAGTATTAAAAAGCGATTACCAAAAATTAAAAAGATAATAATTTTGGTAGTTAAAGGATGGCGAGAGAGAAACTTCGTTTGACGTATCATATCTGTATTTAAGATTTTGATTCAGATGACATCCTCAAGAAACAAAGCCGTGAATTCCAATTTTCAATGCTCGATATTATTTCTTGTAATGTGTTGCCATCAAAAAGTGTTTAGATATCACGAAAGATATTTCAAGAGGTTCAAAAAAGTAGGTAGTAATGTGCGAATGGCATCTTTCTTCAATAATAATGGAGCGTTCCATAAGTCGCATTGTGCTGCACGGAATGTATATCCTAACTTTTACACTCCTAACCTCCAACTGTGAAAAACAAAAGGCTCGGTTATCGTGCTCTATACCACGCCAAAGGAAAAGTTCCTCTGAATCGTTTAAATTTTCATTACCATTTTCATCGTCTCAACTTTTAGCGTTTCAAAAATAGGGCGCCTAGGCCTTTCCGTTTTTGTCTTTTTTGCTTTCCATTTTTCGCTTCGTTAAACCCAAAGTGTTTGGGAGTCCGAATTATGAAAGGACGTTTATTTAAAGGCGCCCTTTTAAAGATTTCATGGCACTTAGCATTTCAACGCGTTATTATTAATGAGAAAATGCAGTCCTCGGCGTAACGGCGGAAAAACACCGGCCGGGCTTTGCGAGAATCTCGCCAGACGGTCCCGACCTCGGGCCACCGTGTTCATTAATTACCCCCCTAACGGACGACCTCTCGAATAGAAAGAAAGTGTTTTATTTTTAATTCGTAATTGTTCGTTCTGTGAGATAATTTTTTTTGGGTTTCCATTCATCAATCACTGGAGTCTGCAAAAATGAATGATCGGGGAAATTCGGCTCAAGTTAGGACAAACGTTTATTTGACTAATTATTAAACGTATATTTCTGAAATAAGCATAACATTTTTTATTTCCAAATTAATTTTGTTCTAATTACTTCTGAATGAAGAATAATATGCTTCGAATAATAAAACAACTTAAGTACGTCACTTTTAGCAAAAAAAAAAGAAACGCGCTCTAATATTTACACAAACACGTCACCCCATTCCATCTGACCTGAAAGTCTCTTAAACATCTCAAAAGTGACCAACCTGGAAATTATGGTGAAATTAAGAGGACAACTTGTTTATTTTTTAAATTGTATTTCATTTTTAATTATAAAAATGGTAAAAATCCGTAAAGTGTGTATCATTTTCAATGTTTTGAGCTACGAGGAATTTCAGACTGGGAGGAGGCTAGGATATTTTATTTATGAAATTTTTGTATTATGTTAATTGTATTTTCATGGGGTTCTTTAGTATAGTAGATTGTTTTATACTACGCAAATTCATCGAGATTGATTTAAAAAACGACATTTTTAATACGAAAATGTGAACGAACCTAAACAAGATCTGTAAGAAAAGTATTTTTTTAACCACAGATCAAAGTATCGGTCAGCTGAGATTTAATTCATTGAGTCTAATCTGCAGAGATTGCTTTGAGTTTGGATTAAAGACAGTATTAAGTCTCGTTTTTAAAGTTTTACAGCAGAGCAATTTTCAAGTTAAAAAATTACTCATTTAACAAGAGTAACTAGGTAAATATGGTTTTCTAAATGTTGATGCTAGCTATACAATAATTAGTTTTCCCAAAATATAAGTGAAATCTTCTTTTTTTTTAGTTAATAAAAATAACAAAGTTTTCAGTAGGTATGTTGTTCAATCAACTGTGAAATTTAAATCTAAATATTTAATACAAATTTGTGCAGATGTATTTTTATTGGAATATGATAGAAAAGGATACAATGTGACTTGATACTTATTTGTAATTAAAGAAACGGCAAATCAGAAATAGGATTCATTCATAAAACTATAATAATATTAATACTGCTTCCCTTAGAGAAAGAAAGTTCGAGTACTTAAATCCATAACTTGTCTTGACATTGATACTACTTTAAGAATTTTATTGACCCTCACCTTAACTGCAGCAATGCTTAAAAACAAGCTTAAAACAAAAAATTTCTCCACTCTACCGCATACCACGGGTTACCTGACATATGTATATTTTTTGTTAATTAAACCATGTTTTTTTTTTAAATTATATTTGGCCACACAGGTCATATATCTTTAAATATTTTCATAGCCTCTAGTATTGCAGTCAATCATCGTGATAACATTTTATCACTATTATCAACAACTCACTTTTTTTTTAATTCTTTCTTTTTTCTTAATATAGCCGAAAGTACGTCAACATAATCGCAAATTCCATAAAATTAAAATTATCAACAGTTACGTCCAAATCAAAAAATCAAATTTTGTTATAAGCGTTAAATGTTTCTCACGCCCGTTAAATAATGTTTTTAGGGATAAACTTATTTATTGCACAAAAATGTAAGGAAAATTTGAAACGATATCTACGACATCGATAAAACAGGTGGTTAAAGTAACAGTGACGTAGATTTAAAATTTTTGGAGTTATTAATAATAGCGATCTCACCCTGGTGGGACAAGCCCGAAATTACCCAAAGAAAATCCCTATACCTAGGCTAGTATTTAGTTGCCCAGACCATCATAGCCATCAAAGAGAAACGACAACTAATTGCTCGTAAAAGAATACTTGGCTAATCTACACGTTGGAAAACCTCCGCCGTCAATATCCTATTGCTTCTCACCCGGAAAATCAATTCCCATTTAATTATTCAGACTGACGTGAGGCGTTGCCCCCGTCAAGTTTATATATTCATCGACGTGAAATGCCCGATGCACCGCTTCGTATTCCCCATTATCCCGGAAACTAAACAATAGAGCGACCGAATAGTGCGAAGGTCGTAATATGTGTCGTAACCAATAGGAAATCCCGCTCGCTCCGATGAAGTATGGGACAAATATGGGTTTTTATTCGCAAAACGGACAATTATTGGCCACACAAAAATAAAAGGACACTCAAATTTGCTTAACTCTGTCTAGCCAGAGGTATAAATCACCCTTATTTCTTATAAGTGTAGTACTTGCCAGAAATTAATTTTCTCCCATATGTCATTCCTTTGTTCCTTAGAAATCATTAATATTCTAGTGGTGACATAGTGGTGTCTAAAGTTAAGTGGTTTTTATAGTCAAATTTTGAATTTTCTTTAAATGTCAGAGAAATGCGAAGAGCGTCCGT